TATTTTTGAGACAGGGAGAGACAGAGCATGAACAGGGGAGGGTCAGAGAGAAGGAGACACAGAATCTGAAACAGGCTCCAGGCTCTGAGCTGTCAGCACAGAGGCCAGTGCGGGACCTGAACCCACGAACCAGGAGATCATGACCTGAGCCGAAGTTGGAGGATTAACCGACCATGCCACTCAGGCGCCCTGAGGTCCATTCTTATTATTCAGGTATTAGAGAGATGAACTAAGGCCTGGGAAGGTTACATATGTACAAAGATTACAAAGCAAGCAAACATCAGTGTGCGGATTTGAATCCCAGACTACCTGACTTCAAAGCCCGTGTTCTTTCTAGTGTGTACCTTACTGCTCCGTGTTTAAGGCCAGCCCAACCCAACTGCTCTACTGGGGTGCAAGAATATACTCTCAGGGGCCCAGGAACTGTCTCTGTGACTGTATACATCTTGTGTTTTCATTTTTCTTAAAACCAATATATTTGGGTGAGTTTGGATAAGCCATTTATAATCCAGCACTGCCCTGGGATTTGGGGTCTGCATTTGTGTTTCTTTGCCATATGTCACTGCTGCCAGGAAGTGCCACTTGAGGACCGCAGGCTAATGAGAACAGAACAGAGTCTGCCTTACCCTATCAACAATACGCTCACGCCAAGTGAAGCCAAACGAAGGCAGGGTCTAATGTGAGAACAAAGGCTTTGCAGTTGTTCGAAAAGTGGTGGAAAAGCATGAAGTCATTCCACAGCAAGTGAATCTAGTCTGGCTAAACTCAAAAGAAGCTGGGCCGTTGACACACTGGACTTTCATATCGTGGGGAGCAATTCCATTTCAGCAAAACATCCAAGAGCACGTTCATGTTCACCTGAATGTTACTATAACAGTAAAACTCTGTTTTAATTTACCTTATTTTGGTTTTTTAATGGCTGAATAAGTTGTTAGTGTCCCTGACCCCTAGTGCCATGTGGATTTAGTAACATGACGGCAAAAATAATTTAGGCAAACATGGGGATCAAGAAGACTTTTGGTTGTACTTTTTTTTTTCCCCCCTTTACAGGGTCAGTTTGAAAACGGGCTGACCTGAAGTCTGGCCAACGGAATGATACATCACCGTCTTTGGCACTCTGTAAGAACACCGCACTCCAGGGCAACTTGTATCTGTGTTTCTTTTAACGATTCCTATCATCGACCCTACAATCTCTTTGAATTATGGGTCATTCCCACTCATGTCTTTTTTTCCGTTCAGACTGGTGAGCAGTGTGGGGGTGGAAAGTTGGCCCTTTTTACGGCGTACACCCCACAGCACTTAGCAGTGTGCCACACAGGGAAGATGACCCACATCGGGTGACAAAACGGAGGCTCAGAGAAGCCTGACCTGCTCCAGATCGCTGGGATGCAAACTTGAGTAGTGACTGCAGAGCCTGTGCATTCAGTCCCTACACTGGCGTCATTTTTAGGAATAGCGCCTGGCAGTCACGAGGTCTGGCAGCTCTCGGGGCTCAACCGTTTGCTGAGCTCACGGTGCGACTAGGTGTGGCCTTGGGAAAGGCCTCTTCCCCCGGGTCTGTTTCCCCGTCGGTAAAATGGGGGTGTATCCGAGAGCACCTCGGCCTCTGAAGCTCTGAAACAGGTGACGAGAAGCGGGGAGAGGGAGGGGCGTGTCGTGGCTGGTCCTCTCTTGGGCTCTTACCATTTGATGATGTTGTGAACCAAAGGTAAAAAGGAGTAATTCTCCTCCTCCTTCACGCCGGCAGGTGACTGAGGCCTCGGCGCCGGCGACTGCTGTGGCTGAGGCGCGGCGACCGGAGGCGGCGGCTGCGAAGGCGGCAGTGGCTTCGTCTCGGGCAGCGGCGGCTCGGCCGGCGGCGGTAACGCATCCTCGGCCTGCCGGCCGGCGGCCACCCCGGCAGAGGCCATGGCGCTCGGGACGCCGCCGGTCAGCAGGACCCCGGCCGTCAGCTCCCCCAAAGCGTCGCGGATTCCAGACGTCACCACCAGGAGCCCGCGGGGCGGGGAGAGGGACTTGGAAGAGGATTGTGCGCGTGCGCACTAGGGCGTGGGCGGGGCGACAGCGCGGGCGGGACAATGGGGCGGTGGGTGGGGCTGCTGTTATTAGGCAAGGGGCGTTTGACGGGTCTGGGTTGGCTTGGATTTGATTGTAAAAGGGAGCAGCTAAATTATTAAGTAGTCAGAAATAGATTTATTTCAGAAATAACATCTTATTCCTATTCCCATGACGAGGAGAGTCCAAAAGTAGCTAAAAAAGGAAGACTGAGATACGTAAGGCTCCACGTGGCCAGCCCTCCAGAAAGCCTCCCAAAGAACCGTCTGGAACCACACGCAGAGTAAACAACTTACCCACTACCTGTTAAGTGTGTGAAGCACTGGGCTCTACGGGCGTTAACAACCTAGCGATGAAGAACCTACAGCTCCTACACCACGCGCGTGCCTCCAGGGGGAGAGGCAGCAAACCCTGACCGAGGAGGTCAGGTCGTGTATGCCTCTAAAAGCTCCGCGTGGCTAGATGGGGAGGAACTAATAATCTAACATTTAATATGCATCTCCTAGATGACAGATGCAATGTTAAATGTGCGGGCAGGGGGTGGGGAAGGCCGTCCTGACTTCGATACAAGGCAGAAGGGGATTGGCTAATGCCGGGAGTAAATATATCCTAGAGGAAAGTCAGTGGTCAGGTATTCTCCATACCTGTGGGCCAGTTCCTTAAGCCCCTAGGTCTCAGTTTCTTTATCTGTAAAATCTTTAGTTCGAGGTCATGGCAGAGAACTGCTTTCTGACTTCAGATCCATGGCTGACTTCCAAAGGTCTGGTTTGCCTCTAGAATCCTAGGCCAAAGGGAAGGGACCCCTGGTGGTTTTGTAATGATACTTCACAAAACAAGTATGATATGGGAGCTGTATAATAAATTTCTGGGCAATGGGACACCCATCCTAAGCTTAGCTAGGGGGTGGGAGAGGTCATGAGCTGGGAAAACCCCAACCTTCCTCAGTTTACCATCAAGGGTCTTAAAGAGAGGCAAGCAGGCCCACGGTCAGGTAGCAAGATGAGCCATAGCACTTAAGAGCAAGGTGGCTATTCCCAAGAAAAGCATCGATGCTAAGGTTTTCAGATGCATCAGGAGAGGTTTACGGAGGCGGATCCCAGGGAAGCCAGAGCGTAGAAGGAAGTACGAAGTTGGAGAGTGTGCTACAGAGGCTCTTTAGTGATGGGCCTTGGTACAGCTTTCTGTGGCAAGAATTGCCCAGAGCACCCCGGAGGAAAAGCAAGGGGAGGGAGGGTCTGCGCGGTTTTCTTCTTGCTACCCATGGACCTCTCCACGTCAGGGAGGAGTTTTAAGAGTTCTGGTAGAGAGTGGAGGAGAAGGGCTTGTTGGGATCAGACCAGGTGTGCTTGAAGAGGCATCTGGGGAAATGGCTTGGAGCCATCTGGGGGAAATAATGATGGGGTAATAATAATAGTAATTACCACAACCACTGTGGAATAAAAATAGGTACAAGGAAGAGTCATGATTGTTATCCCAGTTAATCCACAGAAAAGCTCCAGGAGGCAGATGTTAGTATCTTCATTTCTTAGATGAGGAAACCAAGGCTTATGATGGTTAAGATACTGGCCCCAGGGTCACACAGCTGGCCTGACACCAAATCTCTGGTCTTCACCAACACCTAGGAGACCTCGGGTCTCTACTGGTTCTGTAACTTCATGATTCAAAAGGTTGAAGTGAAGTTTTTATTCAGAATTCAAAAAGCAATCTGATACTCATCGATAACAAACCCATGGCAACCGCACATCATCTTTCCCCTCCCGGTGTGTTTTGTAACTTAATCACAAGTCTCAACTTTATCGTTGGCAGAATAATGAGGACATCTCTTTTAAAAAAACCAAAAAACGAAAAACCACTTCAAGTATAAATAGATATGGCTACAGAAAACAAATTGAAAACGTAGGAAGCATAAACAAGTAGGGTGCATTGACAGTTCGCCCTAAAAATAGTTAATATAATTAGTGGCCAAGAGTAAAGCTGACTTCATAACATTGCTAGCAGATGTCAGAACAATCTGCTTGTGCCGGCTTCATTAAAGCTGAAAAGTGAGTCTGTTCATAACTGCTCTGCCCGGAGTCCCAAAAGGCAGATGCTCCCTGATACGTAAGGACTGTGTGTTGTTAGAGACATCGCCAAAGTTCAGCTGTTGGGTCATTGCTTCCTTGGGAAGATTTACACTGTTGCTCAAAGAGCCTTCCCAGTCAAGTTGGTAGTTACAAGTTCAGGGCTATGGAGCCAGCCTGCCTTGCCTCCAGGCCCAGCTCAGCCTGTGTGACTTTGGAGAGCTGAAGGACCTCACTGTGCGCGGCCCCATACCCTCCCAGGAGGACTCAGTGGGTTATTATATACAAGTTACTTAGAAAAGTGTATGTGAACAGTAAATATTCGTTTTTATTATTCAGATGTGGGGCTTGCTCCTTCACCAATGAGCAAAACCCAGGCTGATGGCAACTGGGAGGAATGAGGTAGATCACAGCTCCCCAATGCGAATATAACACAAACCGTAAATGCAAGCCACATATGCTGTCTTCGATTTTCTAGTGGCCGCATTATAAAAAACCCCCCAAAAAACCAAACCAAACAAAACAAAAACAGGTGAAATTAATATCAGTAATATATTTTATTTAACTCAATATGTCCATAATATTATTTAAACATGTAATCAGTGTTAAATGAGTAGAGGTACTTAACTGTTTTTCATACTGGCTTTGAATTCCACTATGTATTTTGTATTTAAAGTACGTCTCAATCTGAATAGCCACCTTTCAACTGCTCATTTCCAAATGCAGCCAGCGGCTACAGAACTGGGTGGTGCCGTCTAAGAGATCAATCTGTGTCAACATAGCTCGTAATCATAATAGAGGAAAACAGCAGTTGCATAAAGGAAATACAGTATATTACTACTTATAAGTGTTTGAAACATGAAAAATGAATACTATGTATTGTCTGTAGATACAAGACACATCAGTAAAAAAAAAAAAAAGTGTTTTGAAAGGGGCTAAAGGCTATGCCTCACGTTCATGAGATGGGGGATAGGCATGTCACAGCAACTTCCTGTATAGCGTTATTATCTCTTTTATGTATTATTAGAAGACTTGAAGCAAATAGGAAAAGTATGAATAGTTGCCAAGTGTGAGAGCAGTCACGTGGGAGTTTGGTACAGAAGAATCTCGGCTCTGCTTCGATCTGGCCGTGTGACCTCGAACAAGTCATTTCACCGCCTTGTGCCTCAGTTTCCTTATCTGCAAAATGGGATCATAACAGCACCCATCTATTAGGGCTACTGTAAGGGTTACGGGAGTTAATGGATGTGAAGACCTGTGTGAAGTGGCATATGTACGGTAAGCACTATTAAGTTTTGGCTACTACTGCTGCTGTTGCTTTTTCAGAAAAAAAAGCCCCTTATAATGTTTCTTATAAAACGAATGTTACCACAAGAACAGATACAAAAACCGGGCTGCATCTAAGAATGGAACTTCGAGATGCTCTAAGTGGACCCACGCCACAAATACCCATGAATGTTCTTATGATACATTTCTTCTACGTGAGGTCCAAAAATAGTCATTTCTCAGTCAGACGGACATCATGGGGATTGTTACATCGATCATGTCATCGGATGATTGAAGGCTTTTTCATCAAAGCCGTATTCTTACACATGATTCATCCTTTTCTCTCATTGCCTACAGCCTCAGGCAGGTTGGAAAAGCTCCATGATACTTTGATTTTGTGAGTTAAAAAAAAAAAAAAAAGGCAGCAGTCATGGTTGAGGCCAAACTCAGTGCAACATATACCAGGAAGTGGCTGCCTCGAGCCACGATTCACTGCTTAAACGTCAGACAAAAGCCTCTTCCTCGGTCAATGCTGCAGATGGCCTGCCTTCTCTCTCTGAACTAGATTTCATTCTTTTCTTTGTATTCCTTCCAGCCATTCTCTCCTCTAAGACACTCTGTTATGCCCAATTTCTCAAATCATTTATGTTAGTGGTTTCATTTCTTGGAAGCCATCACCTTCGGGCATTTCAGCACACGAATCCGACCATATTTCTTTCAGACTCAGTTTAGTCCTCATTCCTTCTGCTTCTTATTTTCCATCAGACTTCCCCCAGCCTTGATACAACAAAAACGAGAGGAGGAGCGCCCGGGTGGCTCAGTCGGTGGAGCGTCCGACTTGGACTCAGGTCACGATCTCGAGGTTCGTGAGTTTGAGCCCTGCATCGGGCTCTGTGC